GAAATCTTCTATGAAAGCAAAAGTCAGTCAATGCATATTTTATTGTTGTATTATTTTAAGAAATTATAATAGCCCCAACCTTCAGCAACCACCACCCTGATTAGTCAGCAGCCATAGACATTGAAGCAAAATTCTCACCAGCAAAAAAGTTTATGACTCACTAAAGTCTAGATTATTGTTAGTATTTTTTTAGCAATAATGTATTTTTAAATGAAGTTATGTACAGTTTTGTACAGCCTTAGATGTAAGGCTGTTGCACACTTAGACTAGTTAGAATAGTGTAATATAACTTTTGTTTGCACTGAGAAACCAAAAAAAATGCCTCTTACTTTATTGCAATATTTGCTTTACTGTGGCAGTGTGTAACTGGACCTGCAATATCTCTCAGATATGCCTGTATTTCTTACAGATTTCTCTCTTACCTGGTGAACATGCATCCTTTCAGTGTTCAGCATTCATACTAATCACAGAGAAAAACTCTGAGGCCACAGGTCCTCAGAGACTCTATCACTTAATAACTACCTTCCCCTTTCTTCAAAGGGTTTACCCTGATAATTCTCCCACAACCATACATTGAGTAGGATGCCAGATATGTAAGTAGAATACAATAGAACTTGTGTCCACATAGTTTCCCTTCAAATCTATATTTTTGCAGTTTAGATAAGTCTCTTAAAAATATTCTCCATTTCTTTTCTGGTAATATCACACCCTAGATTTCTTCAGTTGACTATCAAAAATTATTCTTTTTTACTCATATATTATGTTTCAACAAAATACAAACACCTTGAGTTTTGCTTTTGACCAATACAGTTATGTGTTGTATAATCTTTGGATGTAGGAGAAGATTTAAGTATCCATCTAAGGATAAGGAATTACTTATTATCAACTCCATATCTAAATTGGGTGTAAACATATGCCTATATAGGTAAGTTTTAATATAGGAGTCTCTCCTTATTCACAGTTTCTTTCGGTGGTTTCAGTTACCTGGGGTCAACCAAAGTCTGGAAACAGGCTAGTCCATTACAATAAGATATTGTGAGAGAGAGGAAGACCAAATAAATGTTATTTTTATAACTTATTAAATTTTTTATTATAACTTTTATTAAAGTATGTTATAATTATTCTATTTTATTATTAATGTCTTACTATGTCAATTTTTTAAATCAAGCTTTATCATAGGTATACATGTATAGGAAAAAACATAGTATATATAGATAGGTACTATCCATGGTTTCAAGCATCCACTGGGGGTCTTGAAATGTATGCTCTGCAGAAAAAGGAGAGCTTCTGTATTTTACCAGGCATTTTATGACTTGTTAATGTAAAAGAACTTAACCAAAGTGGGTCACTGGAGATTAAGTTCTTATTAAATTTCAGTACTGATCAGCAGGTGCCAGTTGGGACATACTTAGTTTTCTGAAATTATTATTAAGTATCTGAAATACATTAAGCTAATAAGAATTTAGCAAACATCCACTTAATGTCAGGCACTATGATGGGCATTTTGAAAGTATCCATTAACAAATAAATTAAAATCTCTGCCTTTATGAAAGTAGAGCTGTGACAAGCATGAATGGACTTGCATGACCTAAGAGTGACTGTCTCCTTAAATTTTGCAACCTAGATGCCTTGCTGACCTTACCCTAGGACAACCATGTGACATGAACCTTATGAAGTGTGGGGAAAATGCAACAAACAAGATAGTGAGATGGCTGGTAAATTCTTTTGGATTTAATAAAGACGGAAAATGGGATAGAAACCTTTTTAGTTGTTTAGAGCAAAGAAAAGATTTGCACTTTTAGTTAAGGATGTCTAGGGATGTTCTCTTTGAGAAGGTGGATGTTGAGTATACCTGATGGAGGAGACATAGTAAATTATATGGAAACCTTCAGGAAGAATTCTAGCTAGGAACAAGTAAAAAGGTCTTGGGTAAAACCTTACCTAGTATTCTAGAATAACACAAGAAGGCCAGTATAGTTGTAGTGGAGTGAGCAAAGGAGAATATTGTAGGAAATCAGTGATAAGACTGAGCCCAGATCATTAGACAAATTAAACCACTATGAGAACTTTGGTGTACATTCTGCATGCTATGGAAAGTACTAGAGAGTTCTGAGTTGAGAATTGTCATGGATTAACATATTTTAGCAGCACTACTCTGCTGCTATCTAGAGAAAAGACATTAGGTTGCAAGGTCCAAGTGGTAAGATCAAATGTCTACTGCAGAAACATAGAAAATGAATGTATGATAGACATATTTTGTATCTAATGCTACAGAATTTGCTGTGGGTTTGAATGGAGGGAGAAAGAGAAATAATGACATTAAGGATGACAGTTTTTTGCCTTAGTAACTGGAACATTGTTGTCCTTTATTGAAAGGCAAAGACTGTTCTGGTTAGAAAATGATAGGTTCCAAATGTGTTTTAGACATCTAAATGAAGATATTAAGTAGTCAATTTTCCCTCTAAGAATCAAGAGTTGAGGAGGGAAGCTCACGTTGGAAATATAAGTTCATCAGCATGTAGATAGTATTTAGAGTCACAGCATCAAGAAAGTGAGATTAGAATATAAAAGAAATCCTGGATTTACTGATTTGGCCTCTCCAATGTATACAGGCAGGGAGATGAGGGAATGTCAGCAGAGGAGACTGAAAAGTAGATGGAGGGAGGGGGAGGGAAGGAAGAGGGTGTTATCTTAGAAGCCAAGTGAAGGAGACATTTCAAAAGTGAGTCAAATATTACATCAGATATACCCCAAATCATATGAGAATATTATGGACCTTACTAAAATGTAATTCCTTTAAAAAAATAAGATGGATATTGCTAAATATTATACTTTTTTTGTATTTTTAGTACTTTTGTTCTTCTTGGAATTTTTTAAGCATTTTATTTACTCCATTGGTGCAAGCTGAGGGGATATAAATATCATGATGTCTGCTTCCTCCTACTGAGGAATCTGCAGTCTAAATAATGATCTTATGGTCATTGCATTGATCCATCCTATTACTTTGTAGCATATGTGAGGACAGATTGAGGCAGAAGGAGAAAAAGCAGCATTGATGGCAAAGCTACTATATTGTAAGTGCCCCCAATCTTACCTGGAGAATATTCACTGACTTTTATTGGCCAGTTGAGTCAAAAGCATCCCATCAGAGGTGGATAGCATACTAAATCTCTAGTTATGAAGTTCCAGATATTTCCAGTATCCTATTCTCACAAAAACGTGAGCATCCATCATAGTTGAAATTCAGGTTTGTAATATGTGAATTAGAAAGAAGCTAAAATACTTAGTACTAATATTGCAAAGAGTAATCTTCTAAAACAATTTTGTGGGATTCAACACAAGATTTTTCTTAGTTTTTAATTAAACCTTAATTTGGTTGTGACATTTTGATAGATTCAGACAATTTTCAGCCTTCCCACAGTGATTCGTTATTCTACCCTTTTGACAGTGCATTCTTCCCACACACAGATTTCAGGCACAGGGGCCTCAGTTGAACAAATATAATTAGTATCACACAACCTTCAATTTTATGTTTAAATACATTTTTAAAAATTGTTAACTTTGAAATAAAGTTACTTTTCATTATGAAAGACAAGAACTAAAAATATTTCATTTAAGTCTTTCGGAAAAGTGAAACAAGAAGAAGAAAGAGAGAAGAAAGGGAGTTAAAAAACACTTATTCAAAGAAGTGTATTTTTGAATTTCAACTTTTATATTAGATTCAGGGGTACATGTGCAGGTTGGTTACATGGGTACATTGCATAACACTGAGGCTTGGGGTATCAATGATTCCATCACCCAGGTAGTAAGTAGAGTACCCAATAAGTAGTTTTTCAGCCCTTTCTCCCCTTTCTCCCCTCTAGTAGTCTCTAGTGTTTGTTGTTCCCATCTTTACGTCCATGTGTACACACTGTTTAGCTCCCATTTATCAGTGAGAACGGGAGGTATTTGGTTTTCTGTTTCTCCTTTAGTTCACTTCAGATAGTAGCCTCCAGCTGCATCCCTGTGGCTGAAAAGGACACGCTTTCATTCTTTTTATGGCTGTGTGGTATTCCATGGTGTATATGTACCACATTTTCTTTATCCAGTCCACCATTAATAGGCATCTGGGTTGATTTCATGTTTCTACTCTTATGTATAGTACCGAAATGAACACACAAGTGCATGTGTCTTTTTGGGAGAATGATTTATTTTCATTTGGATATATATCCAGTAATGGGATTGCTGAGTCAAATGGTAGTTCTGTTTTAAGTTCTTCGAAAAATTTCCAAAGGCTTTCCACAGTGGCTGAACTAATTTACATTACTGTCCCCTCTTCTCTGCAGTCTGGCCAGTATGTTTTTTTTTTTTTTTTTTTTGGCTTTTTATTAATAGCCATCCTGACTGGTGTGAGATGGAATCTCACTGTGGTTTTGATTTGCATTTCTCTGATCATTACTGATGTGAAACATTTCTTCATATTTGTCGGCTACTTTTATGTCTTCTCTGGAGAAGTGTGTGTTCATGTCATTCACCCACTTTTTAAAATGGTTACCTGTTTTCTGCTTGTTGAATTGTTTAATTTCCATATAGATAATGCATAGTAGACCTTTGTCAGACGCATGATTTGTGAATATTTCCTTTCCTTCTGAAGTGTGTCTGTTTAACTCTGTCAGTAGTTTTTTCGCTGTGCAGAAATATTTTAGTTTAATTAGGTCCCACTTGTCAACTTGTCAATTTTTGTTTTTATTGCAATTGCTTTTGAAAACTTAGTCTTAAACTCTCTAAGAACTTTTAATGGTTTTTATTTGTCTGTGTTATGGTTTCATCCACTTCCATTCTAATCTTGTTTTCTAACCAGTTATCTTCAAGCATGTTTAGAATTCTTTAGAAGGGGAAATACAGTTGTCACCCAACTATTTTTCATTTCATTTTAGAATGATCCTAGGTGTAAAGAGTGAGAAATATAGAGGACTTTCTTATCCTTTGCATGTTTCTCAGAGAGGTATTCCATCAGCCATTATATTTCAAGCTATGCCTAAGTTATAGGCATTGTGTAATGTGCAGTCTTAAGAGTGATATATGAAATGCAAGAATAGGATATGCTATAGTCTGAATATGTCCCCAAAATTCATGTGTTGAAATTCAGTGGCCAATGTGATAGCATTAAGAGATGTGGCCCTTAGGAGGTGAGCAAGTCATAAGGGCATGGCCTTCATGGGTGAGAATAGGGCCTCTATAAAAGAGCTTGAGAAAATCAGTTCCTTCTCTTATACTCATCCACCAGGTCAGGACACAGCATTCATCCTCTTTTGCCTTTTGTCCCTTCTGACATGTGAGGACATAGCATTCAAGGGACCATCTTGAAAGCAAAGACCAGGCTGCCCACCCCAGCCCAACATGGTGATGCACAACTTGGTGCCACCAGGCAGATCCCAGATACCCGGCGGGAGCTGGCGGAGCTTGTGAAGTGAAGCAGGGGCTGGCGGAAACAATACAAACTTGGAGCAACAGATCTATGCTTTTGAAGGAAGCTACCTGGAAGACACTCAGATGTATGACAATATTACACCTGGCTGGGATTGGTATCTGACCAACCAAATAAAAACTCCAATAGAAAAACGATCGAAGGAATCAGAAATTTAAGGAAGATGAGCAGCTCTTCAGTAAATCCTGTTACCTCAGCAGCTGCCGAAGTGCACTGGCAGGAGTTCAGGACTAGCTCATTGAAAAGAGGGAGCCAGGAAGTGGGATGGAAAGTAGCACTGCTCCAGACTTCCATGGTGGTCAGGAAAACCAGCCCAGCCAGGAGGGCCCTGAGGATCTGGATGGATCTGTTCAGGGAGGGAAGCCTCAGAAGTCTGCCTCATCTACTTCCTTAGGGAGTCACCACAGCAGCCATAAAATGCGAAAGAATAAAAACCGCCACAGGACTGATTTGAAGTTAAACAAAAAACCACAAGCTGACTATTAGAAGATACATTAGTGCAGAAGCTTTCAGGCTGTAGAGCTCTGCTTCCCTTCTCTGACCTCACAAAGGTAAACATCCTTCACCTGAGTTTGTGGCCACCTCTGCTCTCCCAGACTCAGTGCCTGTGACTTTGAGTAGTTTGTTCTAAATGTGGTGACAAACAAGTCATTTCATTAATACATTGGATTTTTTGCTTTATGTCATTTTTAATAACAGAACTGCAGGAAGATCAAGACATGGTTATAATCCTAGCAAGTTGCTAACTGTGCATTTCTCCCTTCTTTGAATGAATGTCTCCCCCTAAACTGGCTGGCACCAGGTTCATCTGTGATACTCATCAAGAAATGTTCTCTGCTTTTGTTTTATGCTGAAAGTAGAACACAAGTCACATTTCAGATGGAGGCTGTAAATATCTGGCATTTTCTTATATTGCTTTGTGTTTTCTTATTTTTCTCTTGTTTTTATCGTCTTATTTCTTTGGGGTCTTTTTGTATTGCCTCTGTATAGCTCATACATTCCTGCTGACATATCTGGTCATCTCTTTCATGATACTCATAATTGAAAATAATCTGGTTTATCATAAGCGAACTGGGAAACTTGGCTCTGTTTTTTGCAAGGGGAGTATATAGTAACTAGCTATCCTAAATCTAAGTTGGAAGCAGATTCATGTGCAAGGAACAGAAAAAATAGAAAAACATGTTTAAATTGTTCCCTATTAAATAGCCATTTTTATTCTTTTGTATAAATAAAATTTCACAGGCTTTGGAAAAAAAAAAAAAAAAAGAAAGAAAGCAAAGACCAAACATTCACCAAGCACTGAAACTGCTAGCACATTGATCTTGAACTTCTAGCCTTTAGAAGAGGGAAAAAATTTTTTTTCAAATTTATTTATGTATTTCATCTATGTATCTAAATAGATAAAATTGTATGTATTTGTTTTATGCAACATGATGATTTGAAGTATATATACATAGTGAAATAGCCAAATCTAGCTAATTAAATATGCATTACCTCACATAATCATTTTTGTAGTAAGAACACTCAATATCCACTCTGATATGACATTGTATTTTAAGAGTATACCATGTCATAATAAACTCCAGTCCCCATGCTGTTTAATAGATCCCTTGAATTTATTCCTTTTGTTGAACTATACTTTTGTATCCTCTGACTAAAATCTCCCCAGCTCCTCCTTCTCCCTGCCAACACACAACAGCTCAGCCTCTGGTAACCACTATTCTACTGTCTATTTCTATGAAATCAACTTTTTAAGATTCCACATGATTGAATTGTGAGATATTTGTCTTTGTATGTCTGGCATATTTCACCTAACATAATGTCCTCAAGGTTCACCTGTGTGATTTCAAATAGCAGGATTTCCTTCTTATTTATAGCTCAATGGTATTCCATTGTGTATACATACCATATTTTCTTTATCTATTTATTTGTTGATGGACACTTAAGTAGATTGCATATCCTACTGTGAATCATGCTACAATTAATACGAGACTGCAGACATCACTTCGACATACTGATTTCATTTCCTTTGGATACATACTCAGTAGTGAGAGAATTGAATTATACAGTAGTTTTATTTTAATTTTTTGAGGAACTCCCAAACTGCTTTCTCTAATGGCTAATAATGTTCCCTTATCACTACACTCTCATCAACATTTGTTATCTTTTGTCTTTTTTTTAATGCCCATTCTAACAAGACTGAGGTGATATCTCATGGTTTTGATTTGTTTTCCCTGATGACTAGTGATGCTGAATATTTTTGCATATACCTGTTGGTCATTTGTGTGTCTTCTTCTGAGAAATGTCTACTCGGGTTTTTTGCCCATTTTAAAATTAGGATTTTTTTTTCTTGTTATTGAGTTCTTTATATATTTTAGATATTAACCCTTATCAGATATATAGTTTGCAAACATTTTCTCCTATTCTGCAGATTATCTCTTCACTCTGTTTACTGATTCCTTTGCTTTGCTGAATTTTAGTTTGATATAGTCCCATTTGTGTATTTTTGTTTTGGCTGCCTATGCTTTGGAGACCATATCCATAAAGTCATTTTCCAGACAAATATCCTGAAGCATTTCCCCTATATTTTTCTATGTAAAAGCCTTACATTTAAGGCTTCGAGTTTGAATTAATTTTTTAATATGGTGTGAGATAAGGGTCTTATTTCTTTCTTCTGCATATACCATTTTCCCAACACCATTTATTGAAGAGACCCAATCTATGAAGGCTGTATTCAGGAAGTAGTATAGATCCCAAAAACAAGTTCAAGATAAGAAACATTTTATTTTATTCCATTGGAAAGATGTTAGAAGTGGCCCTCAAGATGTTTCATGGAGAGAGTTGCAGATTAACATTTCCCCATTTGTATACTGAGGTATAAAGTCAGGAAAGTACTTCATGGGAAAAAAAATCATAACAAATACTAGGAAAGATTCTATTGCTGTAAACCAGTCTCATGTTGGACAACTCATTAAAGGGCAATGATAAAGTAGCTTAACTTTCCATGCTGCTGTTAAATCTCAGTTCAGATTTTGTTAAATTTCAATCAAGTTCATACTTTCTTATTCCTGCTGACTTTCTTATTTGTCTAGTGCTATTTTATTAATGCTATTTTTTTCTTGGGAAAATACATATTGAAGATATCATGCTTTTATTGCCTATTTTGAAAGGTAGATAACTGTATTTGCTATCATTATATTTACACAAAAAACAAAGAAATAAACCACTTGCAAGAATTTCTAATTCAACTCAATTCAATTCAATGACAATAATATTGTGAGATTCGCAGCCCCATTTGTTCGGATTGTGTTTTCCCTTTAAAATAGTTTTTGCATTGAACAGAAACATTATTATTATAGGGAAAATAGCTATAAAGTAAACCAAAAATTAGCCCAATGTATTGCCAGAACATTTAAAGAGATTGTGGCCTTGAAGTTTTGTATTTCAATTCCAGGTGGTCTAACGATCTATACAAGAAGGGAAAGTTGTAAAGATTTCAGATAATAATATACCAGAAAATCTCCATGATATCCCTCTTCTTTCAAGGGAATGAAAGAATTTATTAAATAAGACACAAAAACACAAATAGTAAAGATTCTCACATTCACATTTATAAACTTATTTTCATCAAAATATATTGTAAGAGTTTCTTTAAAAGTCAAACATACACTTATTAGATGATTCAGCAATTCCACTTCTAGGTGTTTATCCTAGAGTATTGGAAACATATGATATTGTTCACACACAATCTATAAATTAATATTTGTAGGATCATTATTTGCAATCATCAATATTAAAAATAACCTAAATGTTGTTCTTCAAGTGAATTGGTCAACCCACCATGATACACCCATGCAATGAAATACCACTCAGCAATTTAAAAGAAGGAATTATTGATACAACGTGGATGAATCTCAAATACATTAGATTGACTGAAAGAAACCAAACCCAAAGAAGTTATCTATAGATGATTTCACTTATATGACATTCTGGAAAAGGCACACATATGAAAACAGGAAATATATCAGTAGTTTACCAAGGTTAGAGGTGGAAGAAGGGTATGAATACAAAAGGGTAGCATGATGGAATTCTTTGTGATATCAGAATTGTTCTCTCTTGTGTCTGTAGTGGTAGCTACAAAACACTATAAATGTTTAAAAGTGCATAGAACTGTATTTCAAAAGTGAATTTTACTGACTGGAATATTTTAATTAAAATAAATAAGATAGTATAAGAAAATGTAGAGGTTGGGCATGGTGGCTCATGCCTGTAATCCTAGCACTTTGGGAGGTTGAGGCGGGTGGATTACCTAAAGTCAGGAGTTCGAGACCAGCCTGACCAACATGGTAAAACCCCATCTCTACTAGATATACAGAAATTAGTTGGGCATAGTGGTGCATGCCTGTAATTCCAGCTACTTGGGAGGACAAGGTGGGAGAATCACTTGAACCAGGGAGGCAGAAGTTGCAGTGAGCCAAGATTGCGCCATTGCACTCCAGCCTGAGCGACAAGAGTGAAACTCTGCCTCAAAAAAAAAAAAAAAAAAAAAAACAAAAAGAAGAAGAAGAAAGAAAGAAAAGAAAATGTACAAAGATAATATGAATGTATATGGCATATGGAACCCAGAAAATATAGAAGAACTTAAAAATAAGTAAGGGGAAATCATCTCAATAAAGAAATGGGCAAAGGCTTTAAAGAAGTACAACACAGAACTGAAAGAAAAATTGCTAATAAAGGAACTGAGATGTCTGTGTTCGTTAGTACCCAGGAAAATAAAATCACAATCAGATATCATTATACAACAAGTGAGTTAAAATTTTAAAAGTCTTGTTTTACCAAGAGTTTGTGCAAAAATAGCAGGCAACAGAGCCCTGATACGATAAGTGGAGTGTAAACTGTTGCAATCGCTCTGTGGGCAGTTTAACATCAGTAACACTGAAGAAATATCTGACTATCAGTTTTAATACTACGAACATAGGCACCCAGGGAGATATGTACAGAAATATCTATTATACCCATAACTGAAAATAACCCTAGTAATATGAGGAATTCATCTTGTAACTCAGTGGCTTCCAAATTTTTCAAACAGGGCCGATATGTAAGCAATACATTTGGGAGATACTGTCAGTACTCACCCCCACTGTCAGAGTGGTTTAAGAAAGGCAAATGAGATGTGGGGGAAATTTTCTGGCCACTTCTTGGAAAGTTTTTCTTCATGTCCAAGAAAGAGCCACAAGTAGGGCTGGACAATATAATGCCTTTAGACCCTTGTATCAAGCTATCATGCCTAGAGATGCTGCAGCCATCTTCCAATCAACGTGAGGAAAAAAAAATTACATTAAGGATGGCATAGCCAAAGAATCTGGTTTCATGATGCCCTTCTTGGTCCATTTTTATCAGTAAATCCCTAAGTCTGCACTGCCATTGGGCTTATTTATTTCTTCAGCCACATTGGATCTGAGTTTCATTCTCAACAAACTAACACAGGAACAGAAAACCAAACACTGCATGTTCTCACTCATAAGTAGGAGTTGAACAATGAGAAAACATGGACACAGGGAGGGGAACATCACATACTGGGGTCTGTTGGGGGGTGGGGAGCTAGGGGAGGGATAGCTTTAGGAGAAATATCTAATGTAGATGACGGTTTGTTGGATGCAGCAAACCACCATGGCACGTGTATACCTAGGTAACAAACCTGCACATTCTGCACATGTATCCCAGAGCTTAAAGTATAATTAAAACAATGAAAAAAAAAAAAGTTTCTTTTTCTTTAAATGAAACTATCCGAACTGCTACAAACTGAACAAACTGTCAGCCCCAGTTTTGTTCATGTACATAACGTCCTTCTAGGCAATAATTTGCTACTATATATCTG